ATCAGATATATATATATATATATATATATATAATTTTATATTTTATACTTAATTATATAATAAATATTTTAAATGGTGTCATCTAAACAATAACCTAATGTAGTTTAGTGATATTTGCTATGTTGTGTATCCTCAATGCAAGGGGTTCGAACCCCATGGGATGCAATTTTTGAAATAATTCTCTTAACTTAATAGTTATATAATAAATATATTAAATGATGCATTTTATTCAACTAGTGATAGTGGTCTAGTGGTATAAAGTGGCGCTCATCACTCTAATGTGCTGAGTTCGATTGTTGTATAGAAAACGAAGAAAGATCTGTGAAGAAATGATTCTCAAATTTTCCTCTCAATGTCTCTATGTACAAAAGGATTGATATATAGCAAAACAAAATAACAAACTATCATTCGATTGTTGTATAGAAAACGAAGAAAGATCCGTGAAGAAATGATTCTCAAATTTTCCTCTCAATGTCTCTATGTACAAAAGGATTGATATATAGCAAAACAAAATAACAAACTATCAGTTGACATAACAAACTCGGTCAAGAAAAATACAAAAGAGCTACATAAACACTATAAAAAATATGTATTTTCCTCTCAATGTATGTATGCACAAAAGGATGGATATATAGCAAAATAGAATAACAAACTATCAGTTGACATAACAAACTCAGCCAAGAAAAATACAAAAGAGCTACATAAAAAAAAAAATGCAGCCTATAAACACTATAAAAAATATGTTAATTCTTCCCCTCGAGATGGAGAATGGATATTGAGCACTCCCATCTTGAAACGCATATAACTAAAGTGTGATGGATGGACAACTTTTGTGAATAAATCAGTCAGCTAGTTGCTATGACGAAGAAATATGAAAAGGTTTGAGGATGACCCTCGGAGATATGCTCACGCATCAAATGACAATCAATTTCAATGTGCTTAGGGGGCGTTTCGTAGCGGATAAAGTTTTTTTACCTGGAAATCATGATTTTTAAGAATACGGTGAGAAAATGAGTTTCCTAAAAATGTTACCAAAAAGTTGTTTGGTGGGCCGAAATATTTTCGGGAATGTTAGTTTAATTTTCTTGATGTTATGATTGGTTGTGTTCAAATTTTCCTTGTCATGGAAATCCTAGAATACCACCCTCTGTGTGGTATTCTTGGATGGTCTTTTCAAACAAATTACACACAAAATCATATTTCTGGAAAACTTTTAGAAATTTCGTACCAAACGTGGGTAAATAAGATTATTGTCCTCAATTTCCCGATAATCCTAAAAAAAACCTTATACCAAACACCCCTTTAGTGCATTCATGAAATACCGGATTGACAACAATATGGAGGGCAGCCTGATTATCACAAAACAAGTGTGCTGAAGATGGATGGATATGAAGATCATTTAATATAGAAAACAATCACATAATTTCACACGTAGCATTTGCCATAGATCTATATTCAGCTTCAACAAAGGAATGGGATATTATACCCTGTTTCTTTGATTTCCAATATATAAGAGAATCACCAATGAAGACACAATACCAGAAATCGACCTTTTGGTGTCAAGGCATGAAGCCCAACCAGAATCACAAAAAAAACAGCAAAATCAACAGATAAAAATATGCCTTGGCCAACAGTGGATTTAACATAAGCAAGTAAATGTTGGGCAACCTATAAATATGGGAGTTTAGGAGAGGATATATAAAAACCGACTCAGATAATTAACACTAAAACATAAGTCGGCCTAGTGATTGTTAAACACAAAGCTGCCCAATGAGATGTCTATATGCGATGGGATCTTGTAGAGGTTCCTCATCATGTATTGATAAGTTGAGATTAACATCCATTGGAATAGACTTAAGCTTACAACCAAGGATGAACCAGTTTGGAAACTAAAAAAAAATAAACAGGAAAAAGTTCAAAAATCTCATGCGTTGTTGTTTTGAATCATTTACACCCATTGTTGTCAAAAACTAGTGTAAAAATAAAAACTTACGTTTTTACTAGAGTGGTGCGTGTTAAAACGTAAGTAAAAACTGTCCTCAGTAAAAACTGGTAAAAACGTCGTGTAAAAACGTAAAAATTTGTTAAAACTTACGTTTTTACCATTTTTACTTAAAACTATTTTTTTTAAATAAAGATTTACAAAAAAAGAAATTAAAAAAATCATATATTTCATTTTCCCCAAATCATATGCACAATATCTTGATATCTTTTTGTTTGGATATATGTCTTTCATAATTATGTCCTATAAAGCTGCAATTCTATTATAAGTTATGCTATGAGAATTATTTTGTGTTTTTGAATCATTGTGTGCATTGAAAGAAGTTGAATGATATCCTGATGAGTGATGATCCAAAATCTGCAGAGTGTATGAAGCAGTTAGAGCATGTTGGTTATCCATTTTTTGTTAGTTATCACTGTTTATAATCTTGATACTTGGTTATCAATTTTTTTTCCTTTTTAGATAAATAAGTGGCTCAACACACATGTTCATTATGAGATTTTTTTTACATGCATATATATATATATATATATATATATATATATATATATATATATAAGTTAGGATTATTTTACACCAGTGTAAGTTACACTCTTAATCTTGTCCGTTGATACCATTTATATCTAAGGGTTCAATTTTTTTAGTAATGTGAGTCATTGGATACAAGTGGATCAATGGTCAAGATTGAGTGTAAGACTTCTAACTCTTACACCAGTGTAAGAATATTCTATCTATATATATATATATATATAATTTTGTATCTTGACCTCAAGTAGTAGAAAGTATAAACTTTTGACAACATTGCTTACACCTCTATATTTTTCTTTAAATTACTTAAAGCTATGGTTTTTTCTATTCACCCTCTCCTTAACACTGTTAAATATTTGACTAAATATACTTATTTTACTCTTCTTAGAAGAAGAAAATAAAGTGATAAAAAATAAGATCAAATATTATGAAAGCTTAGAATACTTAATAAAAGACTAAAAGAAAAAAGAAAGATAAAATGTTTCTAAAAAATAAATAAATAGAATAAGGATTAAAAAAAGAAGATGAGATAATTGAATCACGACTTCTTTGAATGTTTCTAAAATGTTTCCATTACTATTTTTTATTTGAAAATTATTAATGGTGTAATATAGGATGTAGGTTGTAATTTAGGCAGCGTATCCAATCACGACTTCTTACAAACTATTTAAACTTCTCATCAATAGACCAAGTGGTTTTTTTTTTTTTTTTTTTTTTTTGATAACAGACCAAGTGGTTTTGAACAATGAGATAATTGAATCATTTGTACGGATATCGACACGGGACACGAGATACGATACAACACGACTCTCTGACGCATTAATTTTAAAAAATGTAAAATTTCGACATGTTAGGACACATTTTGATATTATATAATATTTTTATTTTATGTAGTGTATAATATATTTAGTATTCAATAATTTAATAAAAAAATAAAGTTAAACTTATAATACCCATCAATTTTTGCAAAGAAACATAAGATATCCCAAATGTTTATATTAAACTCAATAAAATCGTAATCGTAATCTAACGAATCTAATAGTTGGAACTCAAAATACAATGCAACATAACCTTTTTTGAGTCTTTGCAACAAGTGTTGAAGTGTCAGAGTGTCGGTGAGTGTCAGATACGATACGTCAGGAGTTTTGAAGTGTCAGTGCTTCATAGTGAATCATTAATCGTTTTCTTTTTAGGGCCTGTTTGATGTGACGTATAAGACATGATAGTATAAGCTTATACTATACGTTACGATATTTTCAGTTGTTTGGTATGACCATCGTATAGTATAAGCTTATACAGCATAATCCCTTAATACATCAAAACCATCGTATAACTTAATACTATAAGAGATTGATGTATTAACATCGTTGACCAATGTAATTTTTAAAAATTAATATATTATTTTAATATTAATCTAATAAAATAAAAATATATTTTTCAATATATTAATTTTTAAAATATTGAATATTTTTATTTTTATAAAAATTAATTTATATTTTGGACACACTGATCAAATTTTTTTTATAAAAATTAATATCATATGATATTTTTTGAAGAATTATATAAATTCTTTATTAAAGGATATTTTTATTAAAAATATTTATTTTTATCATATATAGTATTATACAGTGCATTACCAAATACTAGATGATATTATCTTATACAATATATTATTTTATATAATAACATGCCAAACGCTGAATAATATTAAAATTCAATCAGATCTTATACTAGGGCGCGTTTGGTACGCGGGATTTTGAGGGATTCCCGGGAAATTAAATTTTTCTAAATTTTAAATTTTCAGATATTATCGTAAACTGAATGCAAAAATTATATTTTTGAAAATCAAAATTCCCGGACAAATAAAAATTTCTCCTGTACCAAACGTCCCCAAAAAGACTTTATCAAAGATGCCCAAAATGTCTTCCCGAAGTGTGCCCATATAGTCTTGGAAGCGAGACTATTCCTGTTTAGAGTACCTTCTGTAATATCCACTGTTTATCAAGTCCTGAATTGGTAAACTGCGGAATCTTGAGACAAGAAACGTTTCATTTGGCCTCTTGAACATTAGTATATTCATTTTGAGGACTGTTAATGATTTCACTATAGATTGTATTTAAAAAATAAAATAAAAAATCATCCTTTACAAAAAAAAAAAAAAAATCATGAAAAATAAGTAGCATCAGCTCCAGTTGTCTCAGAGGTCAAATTAAACAGCCAAATATCTCGCAAAACGTCCATTAATTATAAAATACAACTATAGTGACCCCCCCTTTTATTACATTGGTCAACCTCTGATTAAGAATATATTATTACATTTAGATGCAAAAAGAATAAAATGAAATATTTTCCAAAAAATTGGTACTACGTTTGTATGAATAAAATGATAATGTACAATAACGAATGAATTTCAATAAGAAAAAGGAAATCTGGCAATATATATATATATATATCAAAAGCTAACTAAACTCTATATGTAAAAGTAAGTAGATGGGTCGGTTGTATTTGTTGTGTCTTTGCAAAGAATAGAGCGGGCTTCAATCACCGAGCGAGGAGGCTCAATATCCTTCTCTTGCAATGCATTTCCTCGCAATCTTTGCATCTGGGAAGCAAATGTGTCATCCAATATCTACAAAGTGAAACATTCAGTGGTCTTAGTTTACAATGTTGAAGCTAAGAACATAAGAGAAGACAACTTAGTTAGAACTCAGTTTCCCTTTGTCTTAATAATCTAATATTGACTTACCCCAAGAGCATAGCAAGATCCATTGTACCATATCCTGTTTTCTTTCCTCCCTTCGAGAAATTTCAAAATAATCTAGCACAACGAATTAAAATAAATTAGACCCGAGAAAAATCTGAGCCAATCATGTCAACACATAAAACTTTTAGTTGGTCACCTCTCCCATCCTATCCCATAATCCACGACATGTTGCTATAAAGATCTGGCTAGTAAAGACCTCATGCAGGTTGGAAATAAAGTCAATGAGTTGTGAATTCAGCAACTGCATTCTTTCACGGATTTCTGCCTCTCCATCTGCTTCTGTTGTTTCCTCAAGGATCTTTTTCAGCCGTGTGCTCCGATTAGCTTGCATCTGAATAATTCAAAACTTTAACTTCAGCAATTGTATATTATTGACATTTCCAAACAAAATTTTTATGGCATACAATGTTTTTTGCTTTAGACATAGAAATAACAGAAAAAACTGGAGTCTGAATGATCTTACATTGTTGACAAGATTCCCTATTATTGCTTGCAAATAAGTTTTGTATTTGGTTCTCAATAGAACAGTGATTCCGTTCATTTGCTCTCCAAACAGTGTCTTCTTATCTACCACGACAGGGAGACAGGATGCCCATGAATTTAGGATGTCTTCCACTCTACAATGGAGGACATCAAGAATCCTCTTGATGGTGTTCAAGAATATTCCCAACTGGATAAAGCAAAATATTATAAGAAAATGTTTCAATATATAAACACATTATATATAAGCATTTAAACTGAGTTCGATTACAGGACCTGGACAAAATATAGCCATATAGGGGGAACTTACTTGATTAGGAACCAACTGAACAGTAGCTGATTGTCTTCTTGCCAGCTTTTGAACTTGCAAGTGAAGTCTCTTAGGTATGCTATCTTTCAAAGGAGTTAAGATATCACTGTATTGTTTCTCAAGGGATTTCATGATTGCCCTTTCAACATTTGCAACAGCCTTCCAAAGAGAAAAGGGGGAAAAAAATGCCAAGTCAAGGTGTATCCATGAAAGAAGACAGACACTATTGAAAAGGAGATTTTAAAAGCAGACGGCTTTATAGAAATATCTCCTAGTTTAGAACTTACACTTTCCAAATAAAGTGAGTATTGAGGCCATCTACTGATTACTACTTCGTACTGGATAAGATTGTCTTTGACTTTGTCATACATTTCCTCAGCAAATGGGGAGGTGGAATGGTTTGTGATTACTCCAGCCCATGGCACCTGAATCATTTGTTTGTATTGAGGAAGGTCATTTCATTTATAGACTTAAGTGTTATGTTGTACATAAAGTAACTGAAATAATGACTACCTTTTCTGCTTTACATAAATCAAGCAAACTAAGTTGCATATCCTGTATCCACACCATGATATAGTTGTGGAATAAATTTCTGGAGTCTACACCTCCCTGCACAGGACTGAAGCATGAAGAGTATCGCATGTCAGGAATAATATTACAATTTTGGGAAATCTAAATTTTGGAGTGCAATGGGAGAAGTTTCTTTGACAAACCTTATATTCCATGACTCAAGATCCCGTTCAAAGTCTGCAATTGCAACTAGAAGCTCATTCACATGTGTCTGTGGACTCGATGGTGGCCATGCAGAAAGGAAAGTTCTCAGCCTATTAGACAGCTCCGTGCTGTAAACGGCTGCTGTGATGTTTGTCAGGTCAATGGAGCTGAAAATTGAATAATAGACCTCAGAAAATCCATAATGTAACCAAGATTAAAATGTATGGAGCCAAAATAAATGAGGGAATATGTGCAATGCTGCGCTAATGCAGATATGAACAGAAAGAATTTTTTTTTAGAAATTGAGGACAGAAAGAATTTTAAGTAATGTCTGAAACAGAAGGAAATAAAATTCTGTTAAACCAAGTGAAATTTCAAAATCTTGATATTAAATAAAAACGAACTGCACCTCCTAGCACAGCAAAAGGAAAATAGATAAATAAAATGTGCTTCATGTTTGCTTTTGGGGGCAAAGACATAAATAACCAAGAAAACAAACATTATGTGTGATTGAATAGCAATATGTATGCACTGTTAACAGTATTGTCAACTTACTAAAGATAGCTGTTGTAGCCAAATACCTGGGGAATATATGCTGACGGTGGATTGTATGCTGGCTGTGGATCTTTATGTCTGCCTGAATTTCATTTCTTATAGAAACACAAAGGTTTTTCATCTTTAGGTATGCCGTTGAGAAGGTAACGGTATCCATTTGGTAACATTCAGAAGTGCTTGACACAAATTCATCAGTCTCCATCATGTGTTTTCTGCACCTTTTTCTTGCTGCAGTCTGACAACAGTAACCTTTTCATTTAGACTCTAAAAAATGAAATCTAATGTGATATTGTTGCAGTAATGATCCCAAAGACCTTTTGTGTTGGTATGAACTGTAATTTTAATCTTTATATACTATATATAGGCTGTGAGAAGGTGGGACTGAAAGCTACAATTTCCAGGAAAAGACCACTCTTTATATGTAGGCATAAATCAGATTCAAGCATCTATACTATAAGTTAAATTGAACAAGAGCATCAGTTATTACTTATCAGTAACAGTGGCAATATAAAATTACCTGCAGATAGTTTCTTAGAATAGTTTGAGCATCTAGAGACAGTATATCATGAAGACTACAATAGACTTGTACGGCAGGATCCAGGGCCGGTGCTGCAGAATCAAATGCTGGCCCAAAATGATCAGTTAAACCTGTAGGTGAGTTTTCATCTAGCGATTTGTAATTCTCAAAAACAGTAGCCAGAAGACTTTCAATTTGAGTTTCACAATCCGAAAGTATACTTCTCTGTGAGATCAAAAAAATAGAGAAATTAATACTCACTATCCATTTCCAACGATGAATAGTCTGGTTAGTTACAGACAACATTACAATTAAAAAAATGACAAATTTCAAGGTAAACAGTTAGAAACAACAAGCAATACATCAATGTTAAACAGTAAAGTTTATTTGCTCAAAAGGTTTCTTCAATCTTCAACCCCCCCCCCCCCCCCTTCTCTAAACAGCTGGGTATATTGACTTCTATCAACCCATTCTGAAAACCAATGGACAAAACATGATTCCTTTTAAACTAAAATTCCCCTCTTCTGTGATAAAATTTCTTTTTGTGCAAAAATGTCTTAAAATACAATGTCTTTGATATCTCATCCATGTTCTGCAATTTCTAGGACTCCTCCTGATGATGACTAATACCCAAAAAAAAAAACCCTCCTGAATCATACAAGCACTTGCTCATTACTGAATGTATAATAAGTATTTGTCTAAAGTCTAAACCAATCCCATTTGCTTAACATATTAAAACAATTAGAAGCAGGAACAACATAAAACAAAGAAAAGCAAAGTACATGATTCGACAAGTTACTGCAAGGGGAAAGAAACAATATACAGCTTACCTCCTGCCTGGTCAGACTCCGGTCACTTCTGGCCTTTATTAGGGGTTCAAGCAACTCTCTCACAAGCTCTAGGCAGTCCTTGGTTGGAGTTGCCACATTCATGACATGTGATAGATATCTACCAAAAACCGAAGGTAAGTGAAGATAATTGGAGAAAGAAAAAAAATAAAAGCAATTTTGTATCTCGTAAAGAATGTTGACAAAACTGATTCTTTTTGCCCTGTTTTTTGGGGTGTGCATACGACATTCAAATACCTCAATTTAGCATATGAATTAGAAACCTCATAGTAATCTGCAAATTCATCTAACAACCATTTCCAAGGCCCATTTAGCCGCAAGTTTCGGGAGTGGAAATGTTGTGCACGCATGGCACCCTCCAACAACAAATCATAAGCTTGAGTTTCCACAACAGGTGCACTCTGCAGAAAATGTAAAACCGAGCAAATGAAAACATTGGTCTATGCTCGGAATAGAATAGCCAGAAATGACCATATTGGTGGCTAGTGGCTACGGGTAGAAACACATAAAACTATTACTAAATCATGACATGGCTTTAAAAAAAATCTAGTTAGTCCTTTGACTGATCAAATTAGAATAATTTTCTCTCTTACTAACTACATTGATAACCTGATTATACACAGTGGATATGTTCGATCCTCTCCATAGTTAATTTCATAAAAGGTAAAGAATTATAGTTATTGAGAACAATTTTCATGCTTGATAAATAAACTATCATGTCTTTGTAATCCAGTTGTCGAATTGGAAGATGATCTTCTTACATCAACACACTGGAAAATTCTATTTGATAAAACAAGATTTATTGAACTTAATCTTGGTAGAGATTGAACCTTTATATGATTGTTCTCATCGCTTGTCATTGTCCTGCCAATGGAGAGCTGGATCTTGCCAACACATTCATGTTCATCATGATATATTGGCCACCACTGAATTCTGTCAGTCTGCATATCAAGAAAATTCATTTCATAAATGTGGCTGGTGTAAGGGGAAGAGTAATATCTATAGACCGTAAGACAGTGGAGCACATACAGGATTATCACTGAGGGATGAAATTGGAATTCTGGCCTCACCGTGGATTGCCTTTTTAGGATCTTGGACTTCTACGAGTAAAGCATCCCCTTGGTTCAATGGGAAACTGAAATTATATGCAATTATTAATAACATTACATGTATTTCTATAATGGAATAAACTTCCTTTTTTTCATGACAACGTGTGATTGTAGTTGTCTCAAAGAATCTATAATGTTCTGAAATCACCAAGTAATGCAAAGAAAGAAATACACTAAGCTGTATACTGGTAGAACACCAGAACCTAATGAGTAATGTATGATTTTCAAATGTTTAAGATTAGTTCCTGCGACAAAGTTTCTTCATCATTTGTCTTCGACTAGATATCTTGTTTAAGATGCATATGCAAAACCTTCACTGATTTTAATGCTGCACTATTTCCCAAGAGCCTAAACAGCAGGTCAATTAGAAGCACTTTTCCCAATTAAAAGAGAAAATAAAAAATGAAACTTACAAATCATGGTAATCTCCACTTCCAGGGCGCAAAAAAATTGCAGAACATGGCTCTGAATCATTTTCTTCTGTTGTACTCTTAAGTCGGATTAAACAATGTAGTGGCTCTACAAGAACAAAACAAATGCCTTTAACTCGTTCGCGATGCAATAGCAGGATTAATGTTTATATCAAAATACAAAATTTTAAATAGCTTTGACTAAGTCCCGACTCAGGATTAATCTCATAGCAGGCTCAAAGAGTTGAAACTTGTGAAGATACCTAAGGCCGACTCAAAGAGGGAATTAGAGTCGGCATACCGAAAAAGATAATTTAAAAGCTCAATTTATTAGATGGATGGTAAAGTATGACTGCTGACAGATCCTAATAATTTCTAACAGTTTTTCACTTGAACACAAAGCACATATCAAGGTCAAAAGATTTCTAAACTATAAAGATAAGAAGAGTTGCAGAAACCTTCCGTCACATGCACTAACCTTCTGATGTCATTGAGAACGAGGCTAACTTCATAGAATTTATGCCAACTTTTACAAGTGATGAAACATGCTGGACATACTCCACCCCAGCTAGCATGTAGATTGATCCTCGCTGTGAAATTGTGTTCTTAAGTTTTCGTCTTGGTATAATGCGAAGTTTCTTCACTGCAATTTTGATATAGCACCTCAAATTAAATGTCTGAAGAGGGTTCAATGTTATAACCATAATAATAATTATATTAGTAAGTTTTAAAATATATAAATTAAAAAAAAAAATGCCTTTTCATACATCTATCTACAATAATAAAAATATTTGAAATCCCAGAAATTTAATGGTAAAATTCTGTTCAGATTATAAGGTTACCTTCCACTCTTATTTTCCCTACAACCTTCTTCATCTTCAGGGGAATTGTTTGTTCTGAATTCCTTGTATTCCTGCCTTCAAATGGCTTTACACCTCGAGGTTGCAACAAGAACTCATGCAATCTATGGAATTAGAGAAATAAGAGAAATGATTGAGAACAATAAATAAAGCCAAAGAAGTGTACTTGTAAAACAAAATGGAACCCACCCAAAGGCACTTCGAAGAGCCAGGCACTCCTCTTTTAAAAACTCTGGTGCCTCAGTGCAGCCTCTTGCCCATGCTTGAAGACATAAACGTATGCAGGCATCATAAGTGATGAGGGTTTGCCAGGCATATTGACTATTGCAACTGCTGAGATTACATGCCATAAAAGTAAGAGAACTTACAAATGCGAAATTCAAAATGATTATGTGAACTATAGTAAATATTAGCAAAGCATTAATGTGGATTCAAATCTCAGACTCATGAAGACCTGCATAAGAATGGAAACTTGTTTTTGTGAAACGTAATTAGTTAACTCAGAGCTCATACCATTCTTGCTGAATATTCTCCCTTTAAAATCTCTACTCAAAATAGACCTTACGGAAAATTCAAGATGCAAAATAAGGTAAATCTACATCTTTGTGTATTTTTTTTCTGTTGATCTCTTGATCTTGTTATAAGTTTTACAACAATGCATGAAGTTAAGGTTGACAGCCATCTGGTAATTGTTAAATACAAAGCAAAAGTTGAAGGTTGACAGCACCTGGTGTTGTAATATTGTGGATGAGAAGTCTGTCTTTCTGTGTCTTCTGTAAAAATTCTGTCCAGTCTGCAAAGTTTAATACCAAAAGGACATGGCAACTGTTAAGGAAGAACTACAAAAGTAAAACAACAAACAAAGAAAAAAAGAAAAAAGAGACGGAGAGAGAAATCTCATGAAAGTGGCTGCAGTGGAGATAGCAATAGCAATAGCAATACCTTTCACCAGTCTCAGTGGCTTTTACAAAAATTTTGGGTTTTTGTTCAATTGAACTCTCACTTCTCCCATCACAATCCATTGATTCTTTTGATGGCCAAGATCCATGGTCAGTTCCTTCATTCGTTACTCTTACCGAGCCTTCTGAATTATCACCAATGATAGGAGGAGCACTTGGAGTGCCAAATTCAATTGGGTCATCAAGGCAATTCAGATTACGCTGGTGATGTTGCTTTTGAAGCTGAACCCCCCCACACGGAGTCAGCTTCTTTTGAACACATTTCTTGAAACCCAATTCTCCATCTGTAAATCTTCTGACACAGTTTGGAACTTGAATGGTTAGATTTTCATTGGCCAAACCTCTCTTCAGAATCCCATTGTGCCCTTCAGGTTTAACGAGCTTACAACCAAACAGTTGTTCCTCATCATAACACTGTGCTATTGGCCTATCCGAGTAATCAAGGTTATTGGGACCAGAGACTTCTTCTTCCTCCTCAGAGAAATTTCCATGCTCAGGGGATGAAGCCATGCTTTCATCACTGTCCCCGCCATGATCACCAAAACCAAAAGCAAGGTTCCGAGGAGCCAACAAGGCAGAGTGAAACTTCAATGGAGGCAAAACTGAAGAATTCAGACTGTTACCACTGCTCAAAAGAGGAGATCTTGGAAATGGGTCAGATGTAATTTTCTCTGTTAGAGGAGACTTTATGGGAGACTCTTCTTTAGCTTGTGTTCCCTGTAAATGAGGTTTGAAAAACATTCAAAATTTAATAAAGGCCAAAGCTTTGAAGGAACCCTTATCCACCAGGATTTAAAGAAACATAGAATCAAAACCAATTCCAAGATACCCCATCAAAAGCAAAGTTAATGAAAAAAGAAAACAAAAGTTCAAAGCAGAAAAGACAGAATCGAATTCCCTTCAAAATGAGATTTCAAACAGAGTAAAGTTAAATGGGTTTCAAATGCAGGACTGAGCAAGACCCGTTTGAAAAATCAAAAAAGAAAAAAGAGAAATTTTGAGAGAACCTGCTTGATCCATTGGATCGCGTTTTCGTCTAGACCATCGGTGAACATCATCTTGCTTTCTTGATTGCAAGAAGACGAGACAGTGAGAGCAGAATCAACGGATCAAGCTATGTTGCCCAAACCAAAAACAGAAGAGCCTAAGAACTGAAGCACTTTACAACTAATACAACGGCTAGTTTGATTCTCAGTCTTCAAAACTGTATGACTATATTATAAGTTGGAATTATACGAATAATAGTCGAGTCCTATTTATATTAAATAATGCCTCGTAAAATAAAGGATAGTACTGTTAGAAAAGGACACAATTAAATATATAATTCCATAATTTTTTCTTTTTCAATTATTGTTTATATATTGTTTATGATTCATTTCTAACATGAGCAAATACCAATAGTGCATGGCAAAAGAGATTTTATAATTGTTGCGAGTAGTTGGGCAGATGTCTTATTATATTACTGTCAACATGACATTTACATTTCTTTGATAAAAATTCTGTTGTCAACCCTGGAATTTACTGTGTTTAAATTATTATATTCTTTTTTTATTCCTACCTTAAATTACACGTTTATGTCATACGAACAAACTGATTTTTTTTATTAATTCATTTACGGGACAAACAAACTGATTTCTTTTTTCTCCGTGCATCGCACGGGTAATCAACTAGTTTATATTAAATAATGCCCCCTAAAATAAAGAATTGTACTCAATGATGGTCTGTTAGAAAAGGACACAATTAAATAATGAATTTCAAAAATAAGAAAATAAGTAAATTATTCTTAAAATAACATTTAGAATCTTATAAATTATTTGAAGATAAATATACTTAACTAAATTGTTATCATTCTAACCAAGGTCGTCGTATGCAATATGTTTCGTATATTATTTGGCTAATTTTTTGTATTGTGTATCATAAATAGTAAGATATAATAAAAAATAATTATATATTAAACTATTTATTTAATTATTTTTTTATTAATATCGTTTTTTCAGATTAATTTTTTAGTTTAGATCATAAATTAAAATTTTATTTTTATTATATATTAAAATTGTAAATTTTAATTTAATTTTTATATCATATAATTCACGATGATATATACCCTATAATATAATATTGTATTGTCTAGTATAATAGCCCTAACCCAATTAATTAGCAAATTACACATGTAATTAAATAATTAAGCATATTTTAGTGAGTAAAATTAAGTATGGGGCTTAATTAAATGAATCTGAGTCACTTTGAAATTAAAAAGTGTACTCAGTGAAAAATAAGGGGTATAAATGGGTACTGACAAAAGTGCCTAAAATATAAAAATAAAAATAGTAATATTCCTAGAATAATATTCCAGACTTTTGGGTGAAGTTTGGTAATTATTGGAGTTGAATAGATAGACGAACCAATACCCACACAAGTCACTCAACTAAGTAAGTGACTTAAAAACACTAAAAGAACCCATTTCCCCCAGAAACCCGTCGACGCTAGAAGAGAAGAGAAGAAGAAGGAGAAGAAGGAGAAAGGGAGAGAGAAGAAGAGAGAGAGAGAGCAAATCTTAACCGATTGGAGTGATTCAAAAGCCTAAACCACTCTAAATCTTCCCCTCTTTCATAATCCTAGCTTAGTTTTGAGTAGGGAGCATTGTGGAGAGAGATATTGCCTCTCAAAAATTCGACCCTTTGGGAGATTTTGGGGTTTTGGGAATTTCTACCTCCATGGGAGCTTGAGGAACGCTCCTTGCTTGGTTGTGCAACCATTGGTGGTAAGATTCTACCCCTTGAACCTTATTTTCATGGAAAATTGCATGAGTTAGGGTTTATGAATAGTGTTTTAGGGTTTGTGATGAAATGTTGTTAAATTAGCTATGTTCTAGGAAGAATGGAGCTTAGAGCATGTTGTGAAAAATGCTAGGAACGACATTTAATCGGTGAAAATGAGCTTAGATAGCTAAAAGAGTATATTTGGAAAATGGCAAGAATATGACACTTAGATATTGGATTTCTTGCATTGTCGATAAATGGTTTGGTTTGGTTGGTTGTTGATTATGCCTTGGTGTTGTCTAGGATTGAGGCAATTGGACCAACCTTGAGAGACCAACCGTTGGAGCAAGCTATGGAGCTTAATTAGCTCCATTGGATAGGTGAGTTCATGCTTATGTTTGGTATGAATTGTATAGCTTGGATGATAGCTATGTGATGTTATTGGATGCAATATGTGTTAATTGCATTAAACCTTGTGTAGGTTTTGTTTGAGAAGTGGAGTATTTTAATTGACTGACTGTGGAACTTGTTGGTGGTGAACAAAGGTCGAATTGAAGCTTGAGGTAAGCCTTCGGACCTTGGGTGTAATTCCCTTGATTGTTCCACCAAGCCCTGAAAGGGTAGTGGTGATTATAGTGTATATAAATGCAATGAAATAGTGTAATGCTTTGTTATACGTATGTGTATGCATTTGGTGTGGCATAGGATGGTGTTTCCCTATGTGGTATGTTGCATGACGATGCGTAAATCATACTTGGTAGTTAGCTGGCCAGTAGGACTATTTGCATCTGAGTTTCCTTAGGACAGCTTGGGAGCTCGAGGGATTTCTCCTGGAGATGTTATTGCACTTTGCATAGATATGTATTTACTGCATTATTATTGTTATTGCTATTACACTGATAAGGAACTGTGGGGTGGAGAGATGCTCCAAGGACCCCTGGTTTACTGGATATATTCGTATATCTCACCCCGTGTTGTGGGGACCCCCTTTCAGGTAAGGATGCTGCAGGAGCCACCAGTGGCAAGTGGCCATATCTGGATTAGCTTATGTATGAAGTGTTGCAATTTTGAGATTATACATGTTGTTTTGTAGCTCACATGTATAGAATCGTAATTAATAGGCAATGATAGATTTATGATTTGTATATTGGAATGGACTTAGCCTATGCTCATGCCTTTGGCCATCTCTTTTGTTGATGGGAGCCAAGGGAATGATCATAGTGTTTTGTAAGCTAAGTTCCATGATTTGTAATGAATATGTACTGTGAATGATGCCTACTTGAAATTCAATATATGCATGCTTTTATGTATTGAGTTATTGAATTGGTTGGGCTGAGAAATCATATTAGGTACCTAGTTCTAAATTGGGAATTGTTGAGAAAACAAGGGTTATGCTGCCCAAATTTTAGTACAAGCCATGAGGAAAAGGGCATGCATGTCCCTTTAGATGTGTTTGTATTATGCAAGAACTAAGAACCAATTATGGAGAGGAATTTATATGATAGATTTGGACCGTGGTGTATGTATGGAAGTTGTAGATATTTTTCTTAGCTTTCCATAGAGACCAATATTGTGTGAATTGGACAAGTACAACTCTAGTTAGAGGTAAAATACTAAGAGGTGGTGAAACCTTCAGAGCTTTGGCGCACCTGGCGCACCGCGCGCCATAGTGCTTGGAAGCTTCTGTTTCGTAGCGCAAATCGCGCCGGCGTTGGCGCAAATCGCGTCGGGATCACCAGCTGGCGCACCTGGCGCCAACCTTGGCGCCTCCAGCGCCATAAGGATCGGGAGCTTCTGTTTCGTTGGCGCCCTCCGCGCCGCAGCTGGCGCCGGTCGCGCCGGGATCAGCAGGATTCGCGCACGCGTTTCGTAGAAAACCCATAACTTGGGCTACAATGCTCCGATTTGAGCGCGGTTTGAACCCACGCGTAGCTAATGAAGAGATCTACGATATAGTAGAAGTTGTGAAATAAATAAAAAGTAAGTTAATGGTTTAAAAATAGAATAAAAACATGATGTTAAGCTGGATTTATCTGATTCCGCAAGTTAATATGGTTATGATCACGAAATTGGGTATTATAAATTCGGCATTTTTTAAAATGAAAAATTTATCCGGATTTTAATTGAACCCATGTGATTGTAACTGCGCTTAATATCATAATGCGATGTTAACAAACCGGTTCTAGAACGGGGCGTTACATCTAGTACGATATAAACTCATTTTTAGTACACCCCCGCTATGTAACTCTATACGATACTGATGATGATTCCAAGTTTCTAACATGTCTTTTCATATTTTTTGTTTTCGAATTTTTAATGATATTTTAATTTAAAACTTTTAAAATGTTATTTTTTATTAATTATCTATACTCTGGAGAAGGGCAACAATTTTGATACTCAAGCCAAGCTTAATTCCTTAACAAAATAAAACAGAATCAGAAGTATTATTACACTCAAGTGGATCAATTATTCACGGAGAAAATAAGTCCCGCGTGCAAGTTAGACCAAGACTGAAATGAGTTTGATGTTTGTAATTTTAAACGATACAGAATTATGTCATTTTAAATAAAAAAAAGACACAAGAAATGAAAATTATGGAGAAAAAATAAATATTTTTTAAATTTAAATTTTAAATAAAAAATATTATTTTGTGTCTTTCTCTCACTTAAAATAACACAACTGTATATCCTTTATACAATTGTGTTTAGGGACGAATATATTTAGCATCAATCGAGGCTTATAATTCGTACTTGATTATTATTATATCTTGTAACGTTCGACCACTTTAAGAATCAATGATTATCCCCACATACTAACACGAGTGCTTTTTCTTCACTCGCACACTTCCTCGGAAAACTTCCCAGGAAGTCATCTATCCTAGAATTGCTCTAAGTCAAGCATGCTTAACTGTATAAATTCGGCATTTTTTAAAATGAAAAATTTATCCGGATTTTAATTGAACCCATGTGATTGTAACTGCGCTTAATATCATAATGCGATGTTAACAAACCGGTTCTAGAACGGGGCGTTACATCTAGTACGATATAAACTCATTTTTAGTACACCCCCGCTATGTAACTCTATACGATACTGATGATGATTCCAAGTTTCTAACATGTCTTTTCATATTTTTTGTTTTCGAATTTTTAATGATATTTTAATTTAAAACTTTTAAAATGTTATTTTTTATTAATTATCTATACTCTGGAGAAGGGCAACAATTTTGATACTCAAGCCAAGCTTAATTCCTTAACAAAATAAAACAGAATCAGAAGTATTATTACACTCAAGTGGATCAA